ACAACTCTGAAGGGCTTCCCCAGCTTCGGCGCTCCTGTGGCATCTGCCGGGGCCCTCATGGAGGCGCATCGCCCCTTGGCTTCCCCTGCACCTGCTCCTGCCTCCTCCCTTGCAGGGTCTTAACACCCAGACGGGCTTCCTACGCATGAATCTCCATCTGAGTCTGCTTCCCAGAGAAGCCCCTTGCAACAGCCCTTTTCCGATACAAAAATCTTACACTTCATTCCCCTGCCCAGTATTGTTTCGGTTTCAGTTCGAATCAAATCCAATTGCATACTCAACGTCTCCAATCTAAGGAGGGTCGGTATTTAATATCCAGCAAAACTTGCTTTAAAATCCTCTTTCCTCATTGCTATCATATAAATGGTTGCCATCTCCCCCAACCTAATTCCTATTTAAATTTCATAATTAGAGCACAAATATATTCTCATTGTAAAAGCAAGGCCCTTGGATACACCCTCCCCATAAATGGTCCCATGCCACTGCTTTCGATTTGGGGCCCCCGGATGTTAGGGCACACCCTTAGGAAGCCTCTCCGCTCACTGCCCCGACACCCACCATTGTCCTCATAGGTATGTCTCAGCTAGTCAAGATTCTGAGCATTAACTTCCTGTGGTCTCGATTATAAAACCAACACTCGTTCTTCATTTCCCATATTAGAATCCTTCATCAAATAACCTTGCTCAAACACCTCAGTTTATAGGGACTAACTAGCAGCCAGTTGGGAAGAATGCAACTTGGATGAAAGCATCTGAGGAAGCAGGAGAGAGAGACTCTTCTAAGGCAAATGGGAGAACATGTGTTTCAGAGTCAGAAAATCAAGCTAAGATTTCTAGAGCTTGTAAGAAGAGAGTTTCGGCATTCGTAGCTCGTTTAGGCAAGTTTAAGATATAACCAAACCATAACCAAATGATTTTATAAATAACATTTGGTATCAGATCATGCATGTACAGGCTCATGAAGGCCCAACACGGAGGCCCTAAGCTTCAGGAGCTCCACAGTCGCCAGGAACCCGAGCGTGGGCCCTTCAGGAGGCTTCCTAAAGAACTTCAGGGCATGTGGTTACATCTCCCAGGGCACCAGAAGTCATGCTTCTAAACAGAGGGGAGCCCAAGGCCAACTCAATCCCCATGCGTCATGGTGCTAAAATGAGCTTTGGGCAGGCAGGAAATTCATTCTAACATAAAACAGAAAAGCCCCCCATAAAATCAACTTGAAGTCTGTCAAGAAACGTACTTTACTTGGCAGAGGATGGTATCTTCCAAAACTCTCTCCTGGTTAAGGAGAGATTGTTCATTATACACCTTTGAATAAGGAACCTAACAAACTGAAAATGCAAGACTCCCTTGTAGGTTAAAAAGCAGTTATTTCAGATGGAGGAAACCTGTAATTACAAGGACAATGGAGGAGAAAAAGCAGGGTGGGGCGATATACAAGAGGGACAGGAACAACAGCAAGAACAGAGTTGATAACTGGATAAGAAGTATCAGAAAACTACACAGAAGGAATAATAGGCAGGTATCAAACTACACTGCTTCACGAGCTGTGTCATTATGAATGTTTGGGACTGCAAGTAGCAGAAAACCCAGAAGGCCTATGTTTCTTGTTTCTCTTTCTCGAATAGCAAGAAGTCCAAAATAGCTGTGGAGGGTATTGGCTCTGTGACGTCAGGGATCACATCTCTGTGATCCAAAGCCTGTTCCTCATAGTTCACAAGATGGCTGCCAGATGGCCACTCCTAACTGACAGGTGGCTGGGGAGAAAAGGGTTGGAAATAAAGGTGAGCCAAGCAACCAACTCTCTAGCACAGTAAGAAAACCATGGGCTATTCTGAAAGGGAAAGAGTCTGGCAAAACGGGTGGGTGCCAAGTCCATTCAAATGGAACCTAAGCTCCCCAGCTGTCGCAGAGGCTGAAGAATCTAGGGAACATGTAAATTTCCACATGACATTAGTATATGAGTGAAGAGGGAAAAATACCTAGTCCAACCCTATATGTGTTTCATCTGTATTACCCAAGGTACTCTCCCTATAGAACTCTTCAAAAAAAAAAGGTTCAAACTTATGAATCAGTAAGGAGAAAACATGAATTTGATTTGCTACAAAAAATAACCAAGTTCAAAAAGCACATTTATTTACAAAAGTACAGAGAAAAAATGTAAACAAGATCAAAGAAAATAAGACGATAGGCATTCATATTTACACAGAAGTAGGCAAAACTTACCAAGATTCTTTAAGTATTTCTACTTCTAATAATCAAAATCAGTTTCTAAGAATAATTCTTGATCACCTTGGGAAGGATTTTTAGGAGATTCAATCTATATGATTCAAACTTCAACCTTTTTTTTTTTAAGATTTTATTTATTTGTCAGAGAGCGAGCGCACAAGAAGGGGGAGTGGCAGGCAGAGGGAGAAGCCGACTCCCCGCTGAGCAAGGAGCCCGATGCGGGGCTGGATCCCAGGACCCTGAGACCATGACCTGAGCCGAAGGCAGGCGCTTAACTGACTGAGCCACCCAGGTGCCCCCAAACTTTAACAATTCTAATGAAAAAATGATACTTTATATTCTTTGAAAAATCTCTTAAGTCCCTGGAGGCCAAGTAAACCAGATCACTACCAATTTTTAAAAGACTCAAAAACTCTTAAATTAGGAATTCATAATTATTTTAAGAAATTGTTTTTTAGGGGTGCCTGGGTGGCTCAGTCGGTTAATCGTCTGCCTTCAACTCAGGTCATGATACCAGCGTCCTGGGATCAAGCCTCACAGTGGGCCCCCTGCTCTGTGGGGAGTCAGCTTCTCCCTCTCCCCCTGCCTGCCTGCTGCTCTGCCTACTTGTGCTCTCTCTCTGTGTCAAATAAATAAATAAAATCTTTAAAAAAAATTGTTTTTAAAAATCCAAATATACTATCATTTGCTGAGTACAATACCTTAATTTCTTAATCCGTTAAAATGATTTCCGTTACCCTCTTGTAAGACCCTATGAGACACATTAAGTCATTTACTACTTAGCTCTTAGGAAAATCATTCAAAGCATGTATTCAGTTTTTAATAACACTAATATACGCGAAAAGAGAAATCCATACACCTATCATCAGTAGCCAATTAGCTGCTGGATCTTCCAAGAACAGAGACAGGTGTTCTTAAGAGTCCAGACTCTTCAGACCCCTGTACTAATAGATCGCAGTGCACACACTTCCTTCAACTTCACTAATAGATGAGATCCTTGCAACACGTAGGGAAAGACATGGCACACTTCTGCAGTCTTTCCTTGCTGGTGTAGACTCAGCTCACGCTGTTCACGCCTCCGTCAACGTCTCTTGTGTCAATTCTTCGTTTAGTTCGCTGTCCTGGCTCCGAAATGTGAGGTCCAAACGGAAATAAAGCGAAAGGTTCACCCAGAAAGTATTCTCATGTAGAAGAATGTTAACGACCAAACGACCCCTTGAGGTTTAATTCATCCAACAATCAATAGGGATCTGAGACTGGGCTGTGTGTCAGGCACCATGCCCAGAGCAGAGGACACAGAGAGAGCTGAGGGGCTCAGCTGCAGACTGGGCTCCCAGGCAGCTACAGTTTGAGTCCCCCGGGCGCCAGCCCTAAGCTTGGTGCCTTAAAATAGATGAAAAGAGATGGTTCTTTCTCTAAGGCGCTGGTAGGTGGTTGGAGAGAAAATGCTGACGAGTGAGCAGTGGAAGACAACCCAGTAATCCCTCATTTACCCACCATCACGGGGAAGTGTGTCCCACACGTGACTCGTAGCTAACTGAAGCTTTTCGGACTTGCTAAAATGTTCATAAACCAAGCTCCAGTCTCTGCTCTGCCAGTTAGATGTAGGGTTACTTCGGGGTTCTGAGGCGTGAGACAGGTAATGCTTTTTATTTTTTTTAAGATTTTATTTATTTGACAGAGAGAGAGGGAACACAAGCAGGGGGAGTGGGAGAGGGAGAAGCAGGCTTCCCGCGGAGCAGGGAGCCCATTGTGGGGCTCGATTCCAGGGTCCTGGGATCCTGACCTGAGGCGAAGGCTGATGCTTAACGACTGAGCCACCCAGGCGCCCAACACTGACTTATTTTTACATTTATTTATTTTTAGGAGATTGCTGTGAAGATCAAAAGAGGTGGGCAAAAAAGTACCCTGCAAGTTAAGACATTTCTACACAAATGTTAAACATTTATTTTTAGGACATTTGTGCTTTATGATTGTAATAATTCTAAAGTAAACTATACTTTTTTTGCCTTCTTAGAGTTAAGAATTTCCAGGGCCGACCTGATGAAGCTCCGCCATCGCGCACGCACGCAGACTAACTCAGAGGCTACGCGCGCGCGGGCGGCCGGGGAGGGGCACGGCCGCTCCCGCCCGCTCTCCCCGCCCCCACCCCCGCTCTTCCTTCACTCCGCCCCTTCCCCTGGCGCAGGCGCGGCTCCTCCGCGCTGGGCGCCTCTGGCAGACGCTTCTCTCCCTCCACGTCCCCTCGCTCCCAGGGCTTACTCGTAGGTACTACTGCCTCGAGTAAGCCGTGGGATGGGAAAAGCAAGCCCCAAACTAATGTCTGAATTAAAGAAAAGGGAATTCCAATAAGAAGCAATCTCCAGCAGCCCTCAGTTTGTTTCCTGAGATTAAGAATTCCTATCAGTGAGATCATATGGTACATGTCTTTCTCTGATTGACTTATATAATAAAATTTAAAAAAAAAGAGGCAATCTCCAGGGTCAAGTGTTTGAAATACAGGTATGTGTCCTTTTAAACAACCAAGAAGCATTATCACTGAAGATGATTATGATCCCAGTTGCCTTTTTAAAAGCACTGTTAACATTCTATTTAACTAAATAACCCAGTCTTTACATTCGAGGGAAAATAGTGGGAGTCTTCATTTCGCTCTGGGGAGGTTGAGTCTGTGCCTGTTCTCTGGTCTCTCCGAGTTTCGGACACCCCGCTCCAACTGCAGACAGCAACGGCAAGTTAGCACCTGGCAGGAGAAACCTTGACCAACTCACGCACAAGTACTTTTCAAATCAAGTGTTTTATTTCAAAAGACTTCACAGGAAGCTAAAAGCGAAAAGAACGTGTGAACATGAACAGACACGTGAGAAACAGGGGCGGTTCCGGTGCGCAGGCGCAAGGCCCGTTGTGCGCAAGCGCTCCACGGGAGCCCGAAGGCGGCCACGGAAGCACAGCGCACTTCGGAAAATTAAAACATTAGCTTTACGTTATGACAGCTCACTCTTGAAGTTTCTGGGCTAGAAAATGGAGAAGATTCCCAAGACCTATTTTCTTTCTCAAAGGAATCATCTTCTTGGAAGGCAAACTTCTGCTTAAGTGCATGGGATATCAAAGACACTGGATCCCAATGTGAATCTTGTCTTTTCCTCTTATGAATGGGTCTACCTCCAGGTGACCTATTAAAAAAAAAAAAAACTTTTTTGAATTAAAGGTTTGTGTAATTTAAGCTCCTTGTTGACAAACGTACCAGAAATATAAGCATAATACATTACAATCTAATTATTCTTCAAGAGGTTGAATATTTTTGCCAAAGAATGGAATCTGGAAGGCACAATGAATTAGGAATCAGAAAACCAAGAAACCGTGTGAGCGGGGCTCCACCACAATCTTGCTGTGACCTAAGAGTATCAAATATCTCACTGTACTGAAGATCTTTTTTTTTTTTTAAGATTTTATTTTTATTTATTTGAGAGAGAGAGAATGAGAGAGAGCAGGAGAGGGAGGAGGGTCAGAGGGAGAAGCAGACTCCCTGCCGAGCAGGGAGCCCCATGCGGGACTCGATCCTGGGACTCCAGGATCATGACCTGAGCCGAAGGCAGTCGCTTAACCAACTGAGCCACCCAGGTGCCCTGTACTGAAGATCTTTATTTTTTGTTTTTTAAGATTTTATTTGTTTATTTGACAGAAAGAGACACAGCAAGAGAGGGAACACAAGCAGGGGGAGTGGGAGAGGGATAAGCAGGCTTCCCGCAGAGCAGGGAGCCCAGTGTGGGGCTCGATCCCTGGACCCTGGGATCACGACCCCAGCCAAAGGCAGACGCTTAACGACTAAGCCACCCAGGCGCCCCTGAAGATCTTTATTTATTTAATTTTCTAATTTTCCAGTGGAAAATTTAAAGAAATATTTAAGAACTTTTAAGGGGACTATCAAATTCATGAAAAGAAAACCATTAGGCCAATCGTTCATTCAGTCTTCACTTAATGCCTACTATTATACCAGGCTCCATTTTATGCTTTGAGGGTAGAGCCATATCCCCCATGGAACATTCTGGTGACAGAAAATCATCAATGAACAAGTGAGGTCACTGCAGATAGCAATGCATGCTATGAGTAAAATTAAGTAGGTAATGTGACAGTGACTGGGACAACAGCACCTTAGCTGAGATGACCAGGAAAAGCTTCTTTAAGGAGATGGCATCTCTCTATAAGACTCCGAGTCAGTGTTAGTGTGAACATCCAGTGGATACATCAGGAAGGAGCTTGGCATGTGTGAGAAAAAAGAAAAACAGGTACAGCTGGAGTGCAGAGAGTGACATGGGAAGTAGGTCATGAGGTCAGAGACAGAAGCAAGGGCTGGATTCTGGGGGCACGTAGAGGACACAGCAAGGTGTCTGGATTATATTCTAAGCATGACGAAAAACCACCAAAGGGTTTTAAGCAGGGAATGGCCAGATCGAACTCCAAGTTTTATTTTATTTTTTTGTTTTTAAAGATTTTATTTTTAAGTAATCTCTACACTCAGCATGGGGATCGAACTTACAACCCCAAGATCAAGAGTCACATGCTCCACCAACTGAGCCAGCCAAACACCCCTGGACTTCAATTTTTAAAGGATCACCCTGATTACTATATGGAGAAAAGATAAGGAGGCAAGCACGGAGAGAGACCAGTTAGGAAACTATTGCAGAAGTCCAAGCTAGAGATGGTGACTTAGATTGGGGGCAGCAGTTAGATCATGAGGGTACACACATTTGAGCTGTATGCTGACAGAAAGGAAATAGGAAGGAAAGGAAAAGGATGATTCTAGATGTCTGGACTGAACAGACAACTGGGTGATGGTGTTGCTATTTACTGAGATGCAAAAGACCTGGGGCAGAACAGGTTTTCAAGGTGGATGAAGTGGACAGGTAGGAAGGAAAAGTTCTGTTTTGGACATGTGAAGCCTGAGACACATGTGAGACAGGCAAATGATATCAGGCAGGCATGGGGTGCAGAGGAGAGAAATCAGGGATAGAAAAATAAATATGAAGGCCATTAGCATATCCCTGGTATACACAGCCATGGGACTCGGTGAGATCACCAAAGGAAACAATGTGGATATAGAAAGAAGGGGACTGAGGTCTGGGCCTTGCACATGCCAACATGTAGACACCAGGCCCAGAAGGAAGAGTAAGCAAAGGAATAAGGAATGGACGGTGAAGTAAGAGGAAAACCAAGTGTGATTTCCTTGAAGCCAAAGGTAGAAAGCGTTCCCAGGAGGAGGGAACCACAGATCATATCAAATACTGCCATGATATCAGGTAGGAGGAACAATAAGAATTGACCATTGTATTTAGCAAGAGAGTCACTGGTGACCTTGATAAAGAGCAGTTTTCAGTGGAGTGATGGGGACAGAGACCATAGGACAGTGGGTAGAAGAAGGAAGTGAGAAATGCAAACAAACTATTGACAACAAGAATTTATACCAGAAAGAGGAGCAGAGAAACAACAATGCCGGGGACATACGTGTTTTGAAGACAGGAAACACTCAGGTGTGAGGAGAATACAGTAGAGAAGGAAAATTTGATGATGTAGAAGACAGAAGGGATAATTTTAAGTAAAATCCTTGAGATGAGAGAGAAGGGGAACCAGTGACCCAGCAGACAGCATGGACATGAACAATGACACTTCATTCACAGTAACAAGATAGAAGGCAGAGAACATGAACAGTGACTATAAATGTAAAGATGGGGGAAGCCTCATCTGATTCTGCAGTAATGTATAATGCCAGGTTAGTTGTAGAAAACTGAGAGACTAGGGGTAGAGGGGAGAGTCTACTGCCTCCTTGCTGTGTCTCCAGTGATGGTAACAGTTGGAGTCACCATCTGCCAGACTGGGCCCAGTGATACCAGTCAGCCCTCTTGCTGGAACAAGTGTGCCCATCTATCCACAACATTCTTCTCTGTACCAGGTGCCTCACACAAGGATCAAATCATAACCTGGTTAATAATGAAATGATGTAGGGGCTTTCCTAACACTATTATATAGAAAATATATTTATTTTCTCACAAAAAAAACCTCATTGAGGGATTTCCAGATGAACATGGCAGATCTCTGTGAAATCCTACAAAAATGACAGTAAAGAAATGAAAACGACGTATACCCACAAAGACAAAGAAATTATGAGAGAGTGGGTAAGAACCACAACAAAACATTGAAATCTGGAAAGCTAATGAAAGCAAAGATGGTGGGAGATGAGCTGCCTTCCTGAAAACAGGGACTGAGGAAAAGTCTACATACTGAATGAAATGTAAACTCAAGATTGAGTCCACAAGTGCCCAGCATAAGAAATTTAAAAAGGAACTCTCCAGGGCATGGCATCATGAAATTTCCGAACACCAGGACTAAAGAGAAGATCTTAAATGCTTCGAGAATAAAGAAACAGGTTTCATACATGGTGCCAGGAATGAGAATGACATGAGCTTCTGAACAAGAACACTGGAAGCTAGAAATCAATGGAACGATGTCTTCAAAATTCTGCAGAAAAATGATTTTCTGCCACTGTATACCCAGCCAAACTAGCAATGAACTGAGAATAAAATAGTAACATTTTCAGATATGCAAGGTCTTAAAATAATCTCCCTTTTTATAGATCCTTTCTCAGGAAGGTATGGGAAGATAGGACACCCCAGAAATGGGTGAGGCAACACACGAGAGAGGGTGAGGCCATGATGATGGCCAAGGAAATCCTCAGCATGGCCACAATGCAGAAGGCTTGCGGGAACCAGAGATTGGAACAGGACAGAGGCCTCCTACCAGGGAATTTATTTCAAAAAGAAAAAGAGAAAGAAACTCAGAGAGAGATTAACTGCAATAGAAAATAAAATTATTCAACAAACAAAATGTAATCGTAGCATAGGAAATGGCTTACTTGTGAATGTTTACTGTTATAAGGATGTAAATTCTGATTACTGATTTAAGTAAAAACTAAGGATTTAATTATATTGGGAAGATGAAACAAGAGGTATATCTGTGTGTATGTGTTAGAGGATAGGATGGCTGGGAGAACATACACTCCTGAGTTTTAACAAAGGGAAATAAATACAGTTAAAGTATCAAGAAATAGCAAAAGAAGTATGTTGTTTCAAAAATACAGACAAGAGGGGCACCTGGGTGGCTCAGTCGGTTAAGCGTCTGCCTACAGTTCAGGTTATGATCCCAGAGTCCTGGGATTGAGCCACGCATCGGGCTCCCTGCTCTCCGGAGAGCCTGCTTCTCCCTCTCCCTCTACCTGTTGCTCTGCCCACTTGTGCTCCCTATCTCTCTGTCAAATAAATAAATAAAATCTTAAAAAAAAAAAAAATACAGATAAGACACTAGAAGAGTAAAAAAAAAATGGAAAATGATTTTTTCTAGGAGAGGTGTCCAATTGGAGTAAAGAGGAATGAGAGAGAAGACTGGTCTGTGCGTACTTTGATAAATACAATAAATTATTAAAACATCATTAATAGAACTTGGTTCATTTCTCAAGTTATGGTAACATACCGTTCAATAGCACGAAGCTTAACCTTATTCATGTCCTTTAGAACATCCAACATGTTTGGAACATCCTGGTTTTTTGAATGACTGTAATTGGTCTTACTATCACCTGGGTGCTGTTTTTTCATTTCATTTGCTGAATTATCTGAGTCACACATATTATTAGATGCTGGCTGTGTGAGAGGAGAACATGCAGGCTGTGGAGAAAAAAGTTGAGGGGGCAGTGGAGGAGGAGGAGGAGGAGGGAGGGGGTGGGGTGGGAAAAGCACTGAACTTGAAAATGGATCTGGTTGGGCACTCAGTTCAGCAGTCCCTGGTGACGGTCTTTGTTCCACACTGCTAGGCTCGTCATTCAAGTCAAAGAAGCCTAAAAACAAAGTACTCTTTTGAAAAATCATGCAAAATTCTCTCCAACATAACACATAACACTAATTAGAACTGAAACAGGAACAATTTCTGTAATGTTACTAAAATAATGATAGGGTGGCCAGGAAAGAGAAGCAATCCCATCTGCTTAGTAATTTTTGTAACAGTCAAACCAAAGAATAAATTTATTTTTAATCCAATTAGGATTGTCTGTGTAGGCGTTTAAAGGGAGGAAGGGTGAGAATGCATTTTAAAAAGAAATTAAAAAGTGCTTTTTCAGTAATTAACATACAATCTGAATGTCATCCTCTATTTTAAAAAAGCTAAAACATAATAAACAATTTGTAGTTAGAAACACTCAAACTGGTATATTCTCTTTATGATGACACTGTAGAAACAAACTATTTTCTAGGCAAGAGCCTAGGATGGGTACTGAGTACTTAATTTTCACAACAGATTTGCTCCCAAAAGACTGTGTTCTTAAGATGACTGCTAAAAAAAAATGTGTATATCTCACTTTAATTGCTATTATTTATTAATATGTATTATATATTTATATATTATAAATATACAATATGAACATTTCATGTATAATGAATTATACATGTGTGTATATGAATGTGTAGAGATACACGTTATGTATTACGTGTGTGTGTTGTTTAAAACAAGTCACATCTCTAAAACATTTAGAAAAAGATCATCTGGAACACATTATTCAACCTGAATTTGGTGCAACGATAGCAGCAATAACTTCAAGCTACAAATGCATGCTCTTCTTTCAAATTAATACATCCTTCCTCATAAATTTGTGCTTTTCTGAAGAGGTAGAAAAGCTTCCTGAGAAAACAGGCTTTTTAATTCAAAAGCACAATCTTCAGCAGTATAGCTGGAACCAAAGCCATCCCCCTCACCACAAATGTGTCTTAGCTTACTCTAAATAAACACCACGCGTAGTAATTGCACAACCCCAACATCCTAGATTTACTGAACGTCACTCACAGGCTGCGCTCGCAACGGACACTATCATTGGGCAGCGCGCCCACCAAACTGCTAGCCCCGCCCCGTCGGACTGAAACACCCCCCCCCCGCCTCACCCGCATGCGCACTGGCTCTCGCTCCCGGTTCCTGCCTTCCCACGATCGCAGCAATCTGGGTACGGAGAAAAGTCAGCTCCTCTTCGAGGGCAGCTATCTTTTTAAATGCTGCTTCACCTACAGGCCCGTCACTTTTCGTTCGTTTATTCTGTCTGACAGCAGGTGACAATGGATTCCAAACTGGTTGCAAAGTATGGAAAACTTCCATTTTCTCTTCTTCATGTTTCCATATACTGTTTCTGTGGGTAGAAGGAAAAAGTGGACAATGACAGTGAGAGAGAGGGAGAGAGAGAGAAACGGAGGGAAATTTTCCAAGAGCAATAAATTCTTTCAGTTAAAGAGGAATAAAGACACAGAAACAAAAATTGGAGAAGCTCTCTTTATCCCGTGATTGTCTCTAGACTGGCTAAGGACAAGCACAACATCTTGTGTAACTCTATTCTCAATATCTAGAACACAACGGCTATAGGTAACCATAAGTGGTAAGTGAATGAAGGAACAAATCTTGCTCTGAGACTGTAAAACAAAAATAATTATCCTGTAACTGTTCTACCTATTAGGTTTAAACACAGTACAAATTGATTTATTTAGAAATGAAGTTGATTTACTTAGAAATTCTACGTATTCTGAATATAAGGTATTGAAAGGCCTTATATTCAGTATTATGTTAGGGGTAAGTTTGTGGTATTCTAACTTTTTTTAAGTAGATAAACCAGTTTGATACATAATAAATTTAGCCGTAATATTTGAATAATTGACCCTTATTGTGCTGATAGCCTATATCTGAATATTACTAACACATAAGTTAGTCCTCTCAAGCAGTAACACATCCTAATTTTGAAATATATTTAACATCATTGCCTGGTACACAGTAAATGCTATATACCTTTTGGTTAAATATATAAATAAATATATAAAATATTTAGTATAGGAAACAGCTTTCTCCTAAAAATGGACATACTGATTCTGACATCCTTTTAATATTACTCCTTCCTAAGCCTGCATTAAGAGAAATGGGAAAAAAAAATGAGAGACACCTAGTCATCCTTATTAAGAAGATATTTAAGACTGTGTAAGACGCACAGTAGTAGAGACAGACAAAAGGCTCAATTAGTATGATCAAACTTCAACACGTGCAAGAATTCAGATTACAGCCCATATCCCATTTTCCAAAGTATATAAAATTACCGAAATCTGAGATAACTGGCTTCTTCATCATTTGCCACACACAAAGTATCAGCAAAAGATGGAACTACAGATCCACAGTTACCAGAGTCTACAGAGTTCAACAGCGGGATTAACTAAAGGAAAAAAAGGCAAAAAAAAAAAAAAAAAGTCAGAGCACTGCAGGGGTTGGGGGCAGGGGTAAAACAAACACATGCATGCCTATGGAAATTACATAAATTAAAAATCCAGGAATGAAAAGGAAAAAGAATGTTCAAAACCAAACATGCACCTGTTAGATGTGGTATATATATACAATGGAATATCATGCAGCCATCAAAAGGATTGGGATCTTGCCATTTGCAACGACGTGGATGGAACTGGAGGGTATTATGTTGAGCGAAATAAGTCAAACAGAGAAAGACATGTATCATATGACCTCACTGATATGAGGAATTCTTAATCGCAGGAAACAAACTGAGGGTTGCTGGAGTGGGGGGTGGGGTGGGAGGGATGGGGTGACTGGGTAATAGACACTGGGGAGGGTATGTGCTCTGGTAAGCGCTGTGAATTGTGCAAGACTGTTGAATCTCAGGTCTGTACCTCTGAAACAAATAATGCAATATATGTTAAGAAAAAAAAAAAAGAAGAAGAAGGTAGCAGGAGGGGAAGAATGAAGGGGGGGAAATTGGAGGGGTAGACGAACCATGAGAGACGATGGACTGTGAAAAACAAACTGAGGGTTCTAGATGGGAGGGGGGTGGGAGGATGGGTTAGCCTGGTGATGGGTATTGAGGAAGGCACGTTCTGCATGGAGCACTGGGTGTTATGCACAAACAATGAATCATGGAACACTACATCTAAAACTAATGATGTAATGTATGGGGATTAACATAATAAAAATTAAAAAAAAAAAAAACATGCACCTGTTAGCAAGAAACAATACTGAGGAAAATGTTATTCTAAAGTCTAAACATGTAGCAGTATTCTCTACCCTGGTTAATGTCATCTATCATAAAACACAAACCAGAAGAATAAAATAAGCTATTCAGGTATTGCTTTGTACCTGCCCAACTTTGAATGTAATTACTTAAAGAAGTAAACACAAAAACATACAAGAAATGACTTGTTTCCAAGAATAAGCTAAAGGTTTTTGGCTTGCAGGAAACATTTCTTCTTCTTTTGTTCTACTCTGTCTCTAGTACCTAAGATTATTTTATACATAGTACTTAATGCCTGTTGACTGACTTACCTCAAAATTAGGCCTGGGACAAGGTTCTAGAGGAAGAATTTTCCCAATAATACGAACAATACTCCGAGCTGATCCATAGTCTTTATTTTCTCTAATCTGCAAAACCTGTTTATACATAGTGTTGTTTTTAAAAAGTACTCTGTTAAAGCCTGTTTATATACTTTGAAGAAAAGCAGATGTAAATGCACTAACACTTATTTTGAAAAAGATAATACAGAATGGCATACTCAAAGTATTTTCCTCAAAGAATTAAACTTTAGTCATATATGAATAAAGGATGGGAGTTAACCTATATAATATTCCAGGAAGAAAGGTCTTTTAAGAAAGTACCACAAATTCATGTTTGTTCTATTTCTGATAATGGCAATATACCTTTGGGAACTTTATTCAGAAAAATTGCCTCCCCTCTTCCCAGCTAAACATATCTTTTGGCCCAATCAAAAATTGACAGTTTCAGTTTCTCAAGCATGAGGCAGTACAGAGTAAACTCCTGTAATTCCCTTTAAAGGTGAGATCCTTTTCAGGGTAATAAATTAATCTGGCACTAGATGATTTAAGAATTCTTTACTTAGAGTGCAATATATCTACTAGAAGTCAGTTCTTAAAAAGAGGATAGAAATGAAATGTGCTACTGTAATTCAAATACCACCTTGTCTTTTGCCTTGGGCCTTCCAAACTGGTATAAACTATTCCCACAGGAACCTTCCCCAAAACATGACATAACATTTCTGCTCTTGGCAGAGATTTCAACACAAAGAAAGCACTTCCTCTCTTTAAAAAGCATTAAAACTTGGACTTTTCATTTTTCCTCAGATCCCATAACAAGGACAAATTTTTACAAGCATCAGATATAGGTAGCATCCTATCAGCATCTTCTTGGAAGTATCCAATAAGCAGATGGATATACAGTCCTAGAACTCAGGAAAAAACATCTGGGATTTAGATGGATTTGGGAATCATCAGCAGACACAATACATGATAGGTAAAAATCGAAGCCATTTGACTAGTTGAGAAAAACGGGCTAGAGAGTAAGATCCGGAAGCCATTGGCACACAGAATGCCATCCCTCTGCTTTTAAGTCGTAAGGGTTCTGAACGTATCCAATCATATCCAAACACCTGACTCTAAGATTAAATACTAATTCACCAACCAGCCTCACAATCTTCCATCAGTTCTGCTAGCTCAGTCTCCTTAACGTCCTCCATGAATTCTGTATTCATTGTCCACGCACCCTTAAAGATTTTCTGCCACTTGGCCCTGTTCTGTTATCCAACTGAATTACCCACTCACTATTCATTAACAAGGACATAAGCTCTTTTGGGTTAAGCGATTTTCCCCTTCGTTTCAAAGACAAGCCAATATTATCCTAACTGCCAAGCACTTACCCATGTGCCCAGAGGGCCTGGCTCTAACTCGAGCCCTGGAACCAGCTGTTTTCACCTCTCTTCTAATGCCAGATTCACATTCCTCTACACATTTGATTCTCTCTGCTCTCAGGAGCTTCCTAGGCTCTGAATTCCTAAACTAGTTCTAAGGAGTACCATACAATAGGACACCTAACTACATATAACTTTATTTCATTTGCAGTTTTCTCTTTGCTCCATTAGATTGTGAAGTCTTTGCAGGCAAAGACAAGTTTGTGTTGCTTTTCAATCCTACAGCATAGTAGTTCTTAACCATAGGTATACTAGAATCACCTCGGAAGGTGGTTTCCAAGAGAAATAAAACACAAACCACATATGTAAAATAAATTTTCTAGTAGCTACATCTGAAAAGGTAGAAAAAGGTGAAATAATTTTCTTAGTATATTTTATTTAACTCAATATGTATATATTATCATTTCAACATGTAATCAATATTTTTAAAATGGCATTATTTTATATTCTTCTTTTCATACTAAGTCTTCAAAATCCCTTGTATATTTCACACCTATGGTAGATCTCAATTCAGACATTTCAAGTGCTTGAAGATGACATCTGTCCAGTGGCTACCATGTATATTGACTAGCACAGCCTGAAGTATACAGATCCTGGACCTATTAAGACTAGAATTTCCTCCAGCCTGAGCAATTATATTTAAAGTGTTCTGTAGATCACTCAAATGCACACTCTTCCTAAGAACCACAGGCCTGGAGGTTTTGCTACAGTGAGGGCTACTCACTGTACATAAATAGCCACCCAACTCTTGGTTAACTTGGACGGTACCTTCCTGTCTTACTCTGCAAGTTCCATCCTGACAAACTCCTGTTCTTCTCTCTCATCCCTTCACTGCCATTGACCATCTTCACCATTCTGATGCTTTCCCCTCCTTTTTCTATTCCTCATCCAGCACCCTCATTTTGACTTTACTGATTTGACTTTCCTACCAAGCAGAGAATTTCAATAGTTTCAGTGATAGGCTGAATAAACTACCCCAACTACTCTTAGCTGGAGAAAAGAAACCACAAAACAACAATATTCAGAAAGACTACAAATCCACGCTGACTTTAGCTGAGTATTCTGCACAGGTATTCTGCAACCCCTTCAGAACATGTTTTGTTCTCTATCATGTTGCCCAAAGCAATCACCAATCTCTGAAATCTCCAATGCCACCATTTCTATTACCTGCCAGTAGCCTTGTCTTTGCTCTTAACTGAGAAAACTGAGAACTCCATGGTGACATACCTCAATTTTCATTTCTCTCCATTCAAAACCTCTCCACCCTCTCTCATTTTTATCCTCCTCGACTGTCCATCTTTTTTCCAAGGCTTATTTATTTATATTCCTTTTCCAACTACCTTCTCCAGGGCACTGCTCATTTCATTTGAATCTTTTTTCCTGTCTATGAGGTTCTTCCCCAATGCTTGCAAACATGAAATATCTCTAATATTGGAAAGAAAACAAAATTTCAATTTGATGGTCACTCTTGATCTCTTTTCACAAACTTTTCAAACAAAGGTGCCGATGCCATCTCCTTTCTTCAGTCATTCTTCAAAATACAAGGCAGCTGCCGCTCTCCACCTACAGAAACCCCTAAAGGCATCAATAATCTAATGATAAGCAAATCTTCAACTATTACTCAAGTTGCCATTATCTTTGATCCCACTATTTCTGAAATTCAAAATGCACCAATAATATCCAACAACTTCCATTATGTCAAAATCCATGAATTCAAATATCAAAATAATACAGATAACCTCAAATCTGAATCTCTTTTTCCTACATTTTTTTTTTTTAAGATTTTATTTATTTTTTTGACCAGAGAGATACAGCAAGAGAGGGAACACAAGCGGGGGGGGTTGGAGAGGGAGAAGCAGGCTTCCTGCCAAGCAGGGAGCTGGATGTGGGGCTCAATCCCAGGACCCTGGGATCATGACCTGAGCCGAAGGCAGACGCTTAACGACTGAGCCACCCAGGCACCCCCTTTTCCTACATTCTAGAACCATTTAACTATCTGCAGGATATTTGTATTTATATAATCAAACAGCACATCTGGCTCACCTTAGCTCCCTACTCAAACTAGTTCCTCATACTGAATTGCCCATTTATAATATTTATAATATAACAATTGCCTATTTATAATTTATAACCACTCTTCAACTTACTTTTGTTTAAAATCTTGAAAGTATCCTTGACTATTATTCTCTTCTAATTCACAACAAATAGCAACAATTTGCCCATTCTGTAAACTCAACTATTCTTTCTTATATTCAATCTTGTATTATAGTCTGTATCTTATTCCTCATACTATATTTTAAGCATCATGAATGCAAGAACCATGTATTGCTACTCTGTATCACCTGCAGAACCAAGCATATTGTCTTAGATGTAGTAATGCTCCAGAAGTAGAGAAAATTGGATTTGCTTATAATTCTCAGACCCAAGTCATCCTCTCTCAAGATGTATGCTGAATTTGAGCTATAACTTGCATTATATATCCAAATACCAAACTTAAGTTACCTTAAATAAAACCACTAGGTAATTAAAAATATATTTTATCTATGAAAGTCATATCCATATTTTGCTGCATTTGCTTCTTTTGCTGGCATTTTACCTATCCCGTAAATAGGTTACTAATAATCTTATCCTTTTTTTTTTTTTTTTAAGTAAACGCTACCTCCAACGTGGGGCTCAGACTCACAACCTGGAGATCAAGAGTGGCATACTCTACCAACTAAGCCAGCAGGTGTCCCTAATCTTATCCCCTTTTTAACTCAAACTACCAAAGGAATACTATTGCAAACTCATCTTTGTTACACCTTAAAAGAAGTAACAATTTCACCTTAAATGTTTACATACAGATCATTTTCAAAATAAGACTCAACAACAAATACAACAGGTTCATTCAAATCCATTAAAAGACATTTACCTGGTCTATGGGAACACCAAAATATTCCAGCATTTCTCTTAAGATATTCAGTATGAGTGACATTGATGAAACAAATACATAAGCGAATTCAAGGAAACATTATCAGTTTCTTGATACCTTCTGGAAAAATAATTTAGAAAATATTACTCTTGACAAAAAAAACAAAAAAACAAAAAACGAATGCACAAAACTGTATCAAGTAACCTGGAGAAATCCTTTCGTTTCACATTACACCATCAACTAATTTCTTTTGGCCAGCAGTATTTTGAAGGAAGTCAAAGAGAAAGAGAGGAATGGAGAAGTGGGGATGGGCTGGTAAAGGAAACTTCAATTTATCAGTTAAGTTGCATTAAAAGTTCATAGGATGTTTAAGTCTTCATTAATAAATATCAACCAACAATGGATTGGACACTTGGCAGGAAAGCCTTTAGGTTAGTTACGACAGCGAAGTCTCCGCTCTCCTGAAAGCTCTGGGCTGAGGAGATGGATGAGTTCAGATCACCCTTGAAAGAAAGGAGGCAGAGGGCCGACACAAGGCTTTAGCAAATGAACAGCAGCTCTTTCTCACAAACGAATCGGGGTACCATCCACCCTCCTCATTTTAAAGATAAGGAATATGAACTCCAGATATACGACGTGACGTAGTCACCCAACTAGTGAGTAACAGACCGAGACTAGCGCCCTGTCGTGTCACTCGCTTTGGCCGCAAGCCTCCTCAGAGGCTCTCCTAAACCCAGCATGGTCGCCTTGCTCACCCTCCTCCGAAGTCGAGCCTCCGAGCAACCACCGGAACATCAAGCTGCCTCGAATCCGCAGTCTGCGAAGCTCGTAGTGCACACGTCCTGGTACAGGAGCGCTCGGACGTCCACCCGTATTGGCCCGCGCACCTCAGTTTGCAGGCCACAGACAGTAACGACGCCTCCCACCGACCCGGGGCTGGGCACTGGTACCCCCTCGCTCAGCCCGGGTACCTCCGCAGGAGGCGCACTCCCATCTCGCCTCTCCCCCCCCCACCTTGCAGCTCGCCCCCAGGACTGGCGCAACTTCCGCGTTCCTGGACGAAAATCAAATTCCGCGGGCCAAGCCCGTGCCCGATCTCATTGGACAAGGCTAAAGACCGCTGCTTGTGATTGGCTGCGGAATGCCGTCGTTAGTTACGGTTATTTGGCGCGCCGACTGGGATTTTTCCTCCTCCTTCTCCTAGGGGGCGGACCTCCCGCGAGGCAGCCAATAGAAGCCTATAGACAGCTGGTGGGCGGGGCGGGGGCGCGCGGAGATGGTGACGCACGTGCAAGACCTGTCTTTAGGTTCCTCCAGGCTAAACTTCTGGTGCCTACAGCCGGGCGTTTTGGAGCCGTTATGGGTTTTGAGACAGGCCCGCGATCCAGAGTTCGTGCCAGTTCGCAGAGAAAGTGTGTCGTCCCCTACACCCAGACCCTAAGCGGGGCCGCTCTCCCAGGTACTCTTGCCGTGGAGTCGCTATTTATTGTTTGACCATTTCATTCAGCGAACATCTATTATATGCTTATGGGACTCGCAGAAGCTAAACACAGTCCTGGAGGGATGTGTAGCTGTGCAGTACTTAGAAGGTTCACTAACCAAACGCTTCTGGTTATCTAGGCTACCAGATATGGGCTCGACGTTAACCTGGCCTAAACGTTTAGAGAATGCTTAAGTGAGGACTAAGTCATATCAGGTGATACCCCAGTTTTTTTTTTAAATTCTGATCTGGAATCACTGGCTTCATAAGAGACAGCAGCTTCTTTTTCGTATTTCAGGTAAGGATGCGCTGGAGTGACATGACCAAGGTCAACTGTGCCCGGTGCTAACTTAAAACATTAAAAAAAAAAAAGGGATATTTTTCTCTATGGCCCACATTTATTCAATACGGAAAGTCTGTTAATGTGCCAGGCACTATTCCAAGCCATAGGGAACACAATAACGGGCAAGACCGGTAAGGTCCTTGCCGTGCTGGAGATTACATTCTAGTGGAGATGTTTTTTGTTATTTTTTGTTTTTTGTGGGGCTTTTTTGGTTAAAGATTTTATTTATTTCACAGAGAGGGAACACAAGCAGTGGGAGTGGGAGAGGGAGAAGCAGGCTTCCCGCTGAGCAGGGAGCCAGATGCGGGACTCCTGGATCCCAGGACGCTGGGATCATGACCCGAGCCGAAGGCAAACGCTTAGCGACTGAGCCACCCAGGCGCCCCGAGATTTTTTTTTTTTTAATAGCATCTCTCCACTCTTATTTTTCTTTTTAGCACTTATCACCATGTACATTCTTGCTCCTCCTATCGCCAAACTAGAATGTAAACTCCAGAACAGGTACTTTGTTTTGACCCATGCTGTTTCTGTAGTGCTTTAGAAGACTGCCTAGTATATGGGGGGCGCGGGCCTGTCAGTGGAGTTTGCAACCCTTCATCTCAGGAGGGGTCATGAGTTGGCGAACTTACAGAAATGACTTGCAATTAAGTAACTGGCAGACTATCCCAACAGTCCAAACTAGACGATGATGAAAGTAGGGGCAGGAGAGGGCTGTTGGACAATGAAGAAGGCAAACAGATCAGCAACCCTACATGGAATCAGTAATTCACAATTTTCTCAAGTTCCTTGTCTTTTCCTTGTGTGGATCTTGTAACCTCCTCCCTTTCCAGTCTGATATCAAACAGCATCTAATAGGGCCACAACAACACTTCCCTTGAGAACATTACAAGTTACCAGCACTAAAGCTACCTTCACCCTTCACTATTAATAGAGCTTCACATTCAATTCTGATTTAGGTAGCAAGCAAGATGGGCCCAGGTCAAATGCTACACCCTCCATGAATGCTTTGCTGACAACTTAACCCTAACATTCTTCAGAGAGCTTTCCTCCATTTTATGTTTTCTAAGCCTTCATACATACTCCCATCTTGATAACCTTTAGTGAGATATTTTTTTCACTTTTCCTTTATTTTTTTATTATGTTAATCCCCATACATTACATCATTAATTTTAGATGAAGTGTTCCATGATTCATTGTTTGTGCATAACACCCAGTGCTCTGTGCAGAATGTGCCCTCCTCAATACCCACCACCAGGCTAACCCATCCTCCCACGCCCCTCCCCTCTAGAACCCTGTTTGTTTTTCAGAGTCCATCGTCTCTCATGGTTCGTCTACCCCTCCGATTTCCCCCCCTTCATTCTTCCCCTCCCGCTTTTTTTTTCTTAACATATATTGCATTATTTGTTTCAGAGGTACAGATCTGAGATTCAACAGTCTTGCACAATTCACAGCGCTTACCAGAGCACATACCCTCCCCAGTGTCTATTACCGTCACCCCATCCCTCCCACCCCACCCCCCACTCCAGCAACTGTTTGTTTCCTGCAATTAAGAATTCCTCCTATCAGTGAGATCATATGATACATGTCTTTCTGTTTGACTTATTTCACTCAACATAATACCCTCCAGTTTCATCCACGTCGTTGCAAATGGCAAGATCTCATTCCTTTTGATGGCTGCATAATATTCCAGTGTGTATATATACCACATCTTCTTTATCCATTCATCTGTCGATGGACATCTTGGCTCTTTCCACAGTTTGGCTGTTGTGGACATTGCTGCTATAAACATTGGGGTGCACGTACCCCTTCAGATCCCTACTTTTGTATCTTTGGGGTAAATACCCAGTAGTGCAGTTGCTGGATCATAGGGTAGCTCTATTTTCAACTTTTTGAGGAACCTCCATACAGTTTTCCAGAGTGGCTGCACCAGCTTGCATTCCCACCAACAGTGTAGGAGGGTTCCTCTTTCTCCGCATCCCCGCCAACATCTGTCGTTTCCTGACTTGTTAATTTTAGCCATTCTGACTGGTGTGAGGTGGTATCTCATGGAGGTTTTGATTTGGATTTCCCTGATGCCGAGCGATACTGAGCACTTTTTCATGTGTCTGTTGGCCATTTGGATGTCTTCTTTGGAAAAATGTCTGTTCATGTCTTCTGCCCATTTCTTGATTGGATTCTTTGTTCTTTGGGTATTGAGTTTGATGAGTTCTTTATAGATTTTGGATACTAACCCTTTATCTGATATGTCATTTGCAAATATCTTCTCCCATTCTGTCGGTTGTCTTTTGGTTTTGTTGACTGTTTCCTTTGCTTTGCAAAAGCTTTTATCTTGATGAAGTCCCAATAGTTCATTTTTGCCCTTGCTTCCCTTGCCTTTGGCTATGTTTCTAGGAAGAAGTTGCTTCGGCTGAGGTCAAAGAGGTTGCTGCCTGTGTTCTCCTTCTGGATTTTGATGGACTCCTGTCTCACATTGAGGTCTTTCAACCATTTGGAGTCTATTTTTGTGTGTGGTGTAAGGAAATGGTCCAGTTTCATTCTTCTGCATGTGGCTATCCAATTTTCCCAACACCATTTGTTGAAGAGACTGTCTTTGTTCCATTGGACATTCTTTCCTGCTTTGTCAAAGATGAGTTGACCATAGAGTTGAGGGTCCATTTCTGGGCTCTCTATTCTGTTCCATTGATCTATGTGTCTGTTTTTGTGCCAGTACCATGCTGTCTTGATGATGACAGCTTTGTAATAGAGCTGGAAGTCCGGAATTGTGATGCCGCCGGCTTTTTGACATTACTATTTTCCACTATTTTTCACGTAAATGAGTGAAATTTACTTGAAATTTCTTTACGTGAAATTTACTTCTTTTGCCATTTAGAATGATGCAGGATTCAGGAAAGCTGAATTTTACAGTTACCTTTTCTGTTGTTTTTGAGTAGCATTCAGAAATATGGTGGCTTGCTTTGTAAGATCGTCCTGGTTGTGTTCCCTTCCCCCAGTTTGACCCAGGCCCTACTATTGTCTCTACCCTTTTTAGTGATTCCACTTTCAGTACTTTCTCCTCAGTATGGGGGTCCTGTCCTTAAAAGGGAGTTTTGTCTTGACAGGTCTGTTTTTTGAGAGTTCACTAGGGTAAACTGCTCCAGTCTCTCCAATCCTTACTGTGGATACCTTGCATTCACAAGGGAAAAGACAAAAGTCCAAGTTTCAGTTGACTAATTTGAGATTCTGCTTTTCTCAAAGTCTTTCAGAAGCTACCTCAATTCTTCCTTCTATTCACATAGAAACCAGTATCAGGCAGGCTGGTAGTTTTCCCCATCTGCTCTTTAGAGGTTCATCACCTAGCTTAATTGCAAATGCGGTTCATAGATATTTGGTTTTGCCATCCAAATGTATTTTTCCATTTTCCCAAACTACTAATACATTATAGTTATAATCATCATGCTATCTTCTGGATCCCCAACACCAAGAATTTTTTATACATATTTACACCCAATGCCAGGCATACTTTTTCACTGAATAAACGGAAGGAGAGAGGCTGAGGGCTGGTTTGGACAAAGGCTAGAAAGATGTGTGTACTCAATCTTGCCCACTGCCCAGCAGAGTCCCATTAGCCTGTGCCACAAGCTAAATTTCTGGTGATAGGTGAATTCAAATTACTGTAATTATCTTAAGTAGTGGGATAGAATACAAGTTAACATTCTATCAAAATAAGAAATAGTCTCTCCAACGTTAACCACAGGGTCTCATGAAAATGTGATCTCCAGATTGGGATGCACCCACCCAGAAAGTTCATTTAAATATTACATTTCAAAAAGAAAAATACTTAAGGCCCCTTTTCCTTCTGTTCTGCCTACACTTGAAGCCTCTCAGGGGTAGTACCAATGCAGTACACTTAAAACCAGTGCTATTTAAAAGATTACACACCTTTTAAAATTAATTAAACCTTTACAATTATTTATTCAAAAATTTCAAATATTATTTGAGAGCAATTAAGACCAAGATTTTCCTTGCTATTAAAATATTTCAAAATAAACTCTCCTGAAAATCTCATTTTGTCTTGACAATAGTTAAAACTGTAT